TTCAGCAGCCCACTTCCAGCTGCTGCTCCCACCCTGCCGGCAGGGAGGACTGCTCCTCCTGCTCTGCCTGGCACAGTTGGAGCACAGACTCACCCACACGTGCTGATCTGAGGGGCTGAGGAGATGCCACTCCTGACTCTGCATCTCTCCCAGCCCCCTCCGGGAGCTGCAGCACCTCCCACACAAAGCCCTGGAGCCAGGACAGACCTGCAGCAGGAAGATGTGCTGTGGGCTGATGATGGATTCTATTGTAACTTGCATGAATTGTTCCTTGTAGCCAAACTGGACCCATAACCTTGCTGTAAAAAGATCTTTGTCCCCTTTTATAGACTTCTGCAGGCTCACTTGAGCATGTGTATAGGCAAGATGCTAGCAGACCAACTTCCAAGCTTCTATTTAAACCTCTGCTGTTTGGGTTTCGTGATGTCCTGGTGCAGTGTGTGACGTCCCATTCACGGATCCTTGTCCTACCTGAGGGGCCTCCTGTACAGAGACAAGCTGCCAGAAAATACTGTGGCTGTGCTTGTCTTTGTCACACCAACAGATGTGCACTGTGACTCCACGTATGCAAACTTCCCACCTTCGCCTCCCAGCCTGCTCTGGGTTTTACCATCACACCCACCTGGATCCAAGTTGCTCTCGGTCTCGACCAGATTGCAATAGAAACCTTCTCCTCCTTTCCAGCAACCAAGGAGCTGCAGCCTCTCAACACACCTCTTCCCACTCCTATTCCAGAACAGGAACACTCTGACCTGTCACTGCACTTCTGCGTCTGAAACTGTTCCTGGAGGGGTGTTTGGTGACCTTGTCCAAAGCAATATAAAGACTTTGGATTTTATTGCCGAAGAGGGAAGACAACCAAGTTTTTCATTCTGGTGCTAGAACACTCTCCAGTGGTGCTCTCACAGTTGTGAAGCCTTTGCTTGAAGAATCCATGAGTGTGTGTGTGTGAGTGTGAGTGTTTGTATGTGTGTGTGCAGGTGTATAAAAACATCTGGAGGGTTTCTTCATTTCAAAAGATCTGAGCCCATGTTTGTCTCTATATTGTTGGCCTTAATCTAGCTCGTAGATACTGTGTCTATCTTGCTGCTCTTTTCTATATGAAGCTGGTTTGGAGGAAACAAAAGTTGATCTGGTCCCCCTGTAAAAAGTCTTCGTGACTGATGTTGTTGATCTTCATACAGTGTTGGTCAGGGGGGAGATTTTATTTTTCTAATATTTTTCCTACTGCAAAAATTGTTGGAGTGGGATGGAAAAAAGATCTTTACAAAATGGTGTGATAAAGATGTGAGCATTACTTAATAATACCAACAGTTAATGATCAGGTGGAGTATAAGTGAGCTCTGTTTCCAGACCTTTTCCATTTCCTACCTTCCATTGGAAATGCCCAGGTACTTTTTCTTTGCATATGGGCTTGTTAGGCATGTTCTGAGACCTTGCAGATACTGTAGATGATTTTGCTGTTCCAACTTAGAAAGAATTTGGATTTTAGAGTTTGGTTCCAGTTCCACAGTCTGGGTAGTTTGGCAGATGTGACAAATATTGTGCCCGTATCTATTTGATGGGATAGAGGGAGTTGGTAGAACGACTTGTTTATCTTTTTACATAAAATTTTAGACATTAAATTGGTCACTCTGGGGTGGGGGGGGGAACTGGCATATGTAGGCCAGATTCACTGAATTTTAGGCTGTTTGTTCAAGCAACAGATCCAGCCTGTGAATGTTGGATTCCCACCTCATTTTCTTGGGTGATGGGAATACCTGTAAGACACTGCTGAACTGGCTGGGTTCCTTAAAACAGGGCAGCTGGAATGAAGGGCTTGTGTTGCCTGTGGATGCTGCTATATTTTTTCTTCCAAGCACCATTCCTGGAAATAACGATGGTCTTAACCTCTCTCACAGACGTTTGTTAAAAGGTTAGAAAGGCCCAATTTGGCCAACACTTTTTTCTTTTTTTTTTTCCTTTTCTGCATCCAGAAATTATCATCACTGTGTCCTGTGGTGGGAGTAAGGTACAGAGTACTTGTGGATTGAATGGGTATCTAGAGAGGGTGAGCAGGACAATTTCAAGTCCTAAACCTTATTTCCTGTGAAAGACTGTATGTTATGTGTGTATACTTCTTTGGGGAGCTCTATCACTGTACAGTTTAGTTAAACGTGCTCCAAGGAAGGAGAAGCTGTTCCTCAGAGGTTTTTAGTTCATGCTTTGTGTTTAAAGAAGAATATTTTTCTTTAAAAAATAAAAATGGATAAGTTTTCACCTTAGTGTGTGTGGTCCAGTTATATGCACACTGTACTTTTGTGTTCATTTGGCACTTAAGGGATTTTTTTTTTGTTCTGTGAGATGGTGACTGAGAGTGTTTTATGTATTATCGCATGGTCTTAAATTTATGTTTTTATTTTGAAATGTATGTTAAGGGACAGGTGGTATAAGCTTTTAGACATAGGCTTTCTGAACACAGGCTTCAAAGGCTGTCATTTTCCTCCATTTATACTTTTATGACTCATGTTTAGATTGTTAAAATGGGCTGCTAATTTGTTTCAAGACCTGGCCGTGTATTCTCTGTATCTTTAAATACCTGGAGAAGTTCTGTGTTTTGCTGGGCAGGAGGGGATGCACTTCTCAGGCACTTTTCCTTTCACCCCTGTTCTTTCAGTGTTGGAGACCTGTTTAGTTGTGCAGTGTTGGAGACCTGTTTTTATTTTCAGCGGTACCATCGTGTTTAATTGCTTTTGCATTACACAGGGCAGAAAAAAACCAGTGGCCATACTGCTGAGTCTTTCCTCTGCTCCATCAGAGCTCCCTTCTGCTGTTGGCAGATTTGTTATAACCAGTAGGGATGTTTCATTCTTAGCTATTTAAATATTTCCATCCAGCCCAGTAGAAGTTTTCTGTTCAAAGACCTGTGCAGTATTTTTAAAATATGAGCCACCAGTGTTGGTAGTTTTTGTAAATGGGAACAGCAGCCTGATAGTCATCGATTTTTTTTTTTCCTTCTGTTTCTTAGCCCTGTACAACTTTTGGAAAAGAGGGACTGATTCCTTCCAAAAACCCTTCCAGATTTTTTTTTAAATTGAGGCACTTTTCTGCGTTTTTAATTAATTAAGGGTAATCAAAGAAGTAGTTTTTAAAGGAGGGTTTATTTTAATTAAATAACTGGCATAGGCCCACTAATAATTCTGTGCATAGGGATGTATTCTGAAGGATTTAGTGACTTGCACGGATGCAGCACCGGTGGAATCCGGGTTGCTGCACCACAGCTCTGCTCCTCCATCCTCCTCCCGGTGCCTGCAGGGACCCCCGAGCGGCCCTTCCCCGGGGGGGTGTTGGCACCTCTAAGTAGCGGGTGTGCAGCCAGGCACCCGAACCCGCCGGAACGGTAAGAAATTATGGATTTGGCCGCGTTTACTACAGGGATTTTTGCCCCCCAAGCTCCGAGCTTTGCCGGGGCTGCCTTTGCCCGGGGCCGCCCCGCCGTCGCTGGCTGTGTCTCGCTCCTCAGTGTTTGGGTTTGTGGAGCCAACGCGCCGTCCTGACCCCGCCGCGACCCCGAACTTCCCGGAGCGGGCCGGGCCGGGCCGAGGGGTGGGAGGGGAGAGGGTTTTAGGGCGGCAGCGCGGGGCCGCAGCGCAGTGGGGCCATGGGCGAGGCGGACCCCGGCGAGCTGCGGGCGGCGGGCACCGACCCGGCGATGTCGGGCACCGACCCGGCGATGTCGGGCACCGACCCGGCGATGTCGGGCACCGACCCGGGCGAGCCGCAGAAGCCTCCCTACACCTACGTGGCGCTGATCACCATGGCCATCCGCGCCAGCCCCGAGCAGCGGCTCCCGCTGAGCGGCATCTACGCCTTCATCGCCGAGCGCTTCCCCTACTACCGCGTCTGCTCCCCGGGCTGGCAGAACAGCATCCGCCACAACCTCAGCCTCAACTCCTGCTTCCGACGCCTACCCCGCCGCGGCAGCCGCGGCGGCGACTGGGTGCTGGATCCCGCTTTCCACGACATGTTCCCGGAGGGCGATTATCTCCGGCGCCGCCGCCGCTATCGCCGCTCCCCCGCACCATCATCATCATCATCGCCGCCGCCGCCGCCCGCCCCGCTGCCCGCCGCGCCCTGGTCCCCGCCGCCGCCCGTCGCGGTGCCCCCGGTCCCCGCAGGCTGCTCGCACGGGCCCTGGGCAGCGCTGGCGCTGCCCCGCGGGTGCCTCTGCCCGGAGCTGCCCGGCTGGGCCCCCGCCGGGCTCCTGGGGCCGCCGCAGGGCTTCCCCGCCTGGCCGCTGGATGCGGCGATGCCCCGCGAGCTGGGCGCCAGGATGTCGCCCTCCTTCAAGTGAACCCCCCCCGGCCGGGCTCGGGGCGCTGCTGCATCGCCGCTGGGTTCCCGAGAAAGCGTTTGAAACCCGCTGGATTCCTGAGAAAGCGATTTCAAACCGCCCGGGAAGCGCCGTGTGAGAAGTGCCCGTTGCGGTGACTGGGATGCTCCCCCTGTCTCGGTCCTCTGTGCCCCGAGGAGGATGAATTGCGCTTCTCTACTGCATCGGTTTGGATTTGGGGAAGGAGGGATTATGGTTTTGTTGTTCGAACCTTCAGGCAGGGGACGAATTACAGTTTTGGTGTTTGAACCTTCAGGCAGCCTGAGAGGGAGCCGCAGAACACGGACGACCTCTGAAAGTACGCGAGGAAGAGTCATGCACGTGCTGCTCCTTGGTTCGTGCAGGGAAGTTATTTTTTTCAAGTGTCCTTAATTTATTTTGAATCTTTTCTTTCAAGTTTTATGGAAAAGCAATATCTGTGTTGTGGGGTTGGTTTGGTTTTTTGGTTTTGGTTTGTTTTTTCTTTTTTTCCTGGGGGGGGGGGAAATACCCCAAACCAACAAACCCTAAAGGTGTTTGGGTTAATACTGGAAATCTTGTGGGTTTGTATTTGAAGTGAATTTATATGGGATTTTTCATACGGGTTGTTTTATACTGTTGCTGGTTATGTATGTTTGCATACGTTCAATGTTAACAAGTTTCTTATATATTACCGTGTAATAATGTTTTCCCTTTGGGTTTCAGAGGGAGTAGTTTTTATGCTTTTCTCTCAAAATAAGGGTTCAGAGACAAAATATGCTTCCAATAAGAACCACGTTTTAAGTTTAAGAGAGAGAAGGATTCAAATACTGTTATGTGAAGAGCAGCATTTATTGTATGTTATATTAATAAATAGTGTTTCTTAAGAGTTGTGGCTTCAAAAAGTACTTAAACTATTTTGATGCTTTTCTTGAAAGCAGGTACAACTCAAATCCGGTTTTATAGTTATTTTATATTTTTTTATGTTTATGAAGTGATTCTGAATGTCATCTTTAAATTCTACCAATATGTTATAAACAATGAAATACTGTTAGATTTAGACGGGGCTACAGCTTTATGGTTGTTTTTACTGGATACCAACACATTAAAGATGCTGCAGTTCTGTCACGTTTCAAGTTGTTTTTTTCTTCTCATTTTTCATGTAGCTCCTGATATCTTTGAACACCAAACCATTTGCTATACTTCGAAGAAGTGTATTTGGACTCTGGTTATAAAATCAATTCAGTGCCCAAAGGGGAATGCAGGTACATAAGGATTGCTGTATTTTGAAGCTTTTGGTAACTGTGTGTAACTGAAACAAATTCTTACGGGGTTTTGTTCTAAATAAGGTATGGCTCTGTTCTGCTTAGCAAAGTTGTTAAGTGCCTGCTGCAGTTTAGAGCATATGTGAACAATTCATATATGTAAAACTACAGCTGCTGAATTTGGGGTATTGATTTTGACCTCTGCACTCCCATTAATTCCACAGTGCACACAATTAGGGAAGTAGGAAAGGTTTCTGAAAGTCTGACTCTCATTGTGTGCCTCCCACTGGTGGTTTTATCTGGATTTTCTGATTTTTCCATTGCCCAGGTAAAGGTCCAGTACATGGAGTCTCCTTAGAAACCCGGCGGTGGGCCCCGTGCAGGCTGAAACCTGTCCCCAGGGTGAGGGGGTTTCAAGAAGGGCTCTCTGGGTCGGGGTTGATGTGGAATACCCTCTCTTGGAGACAAGCAGCGGCTATGCCCGTTCCTGAAGGGCCAGTACATCATTTCTCCCAGGGAATCCCCCCGTTATCCAGAGGCCTGGGCCCAGCCGGGGGGGCTCAGTGCCCTCCCCTCAGCCCGTCCCTGCCCCTGCTCTGTGCCCGGGAGGGTCTCCTGCCCCGGGGACCCGCACTCGCCTCAGCCCGGGGGATGTTGTACCCCTTTGTGCCCTGCCCAGGGATGGCTCCTGGGCTGAGGCTGCCCATGGCTCGGCATCCAGCTGGCAGGGATGAGCTGGGGTAAGTGATTAAATTATAGCCCTTTCTTTACTTCCATTTCGGGACGCGGTGCCCTCACACGGGGGTGGGTGTGAGGGGAGCTCCCTCCTCAGCCTCCCTGCCGGGGGTGCTGAGCGGGGTGGGCTCCAAATGCAAAGACAGGGCTGCTTTTATGCTCCCCTTAAGTAAAGATCGCTCCTGCCGTGATTATTCCTCTCGGAAATAAGAGATTATAAAGTGAATTTTATAGCCTGGTGGTTTCGGGGCTGTGTGCCCGTGGCTCGTGAGGCATCGCTGGCTTTTGTAGGTGCAGAGTGAGGAATTTGTCATCCATTTCGGCTTTGTCTGTGCTGTGGTAGCAGCGATGCAGCCCAGGCAGGCAGAACAAATTTTTAAAAAAAGTGATTTTCAGATATTTGAAACCATTTGCAGCAACTTACCACTAAAGGAGCACTTTACTGTGTGTTCTCTGGCCCGTGTAATCCTGCAGGTAGCAAGACACAGACATTTCGTACTCAAAAGTGGACGTAACTGTGGGGTTACGTCCTGTAACTGTGGGGACGTAAAGTGGGGTTTTGTGGCTTCTTTTTTTCCCCCTGTTGTTATTTCCTATTTTAACTTTTGGATTAACTGTGGCTCTTGTGTCTGGGGCATCCATTCTCACACAGAGATGGTGAGCCCAGTGGAAATCACTATCGACATCTGGCCCAAGGTTTTCAAAACTAACGAGTGAATTTGGGTCCTGGACACAAGATTTTTTTAATATTGGGCATTTAAAAGTCTTTCCATTTGGAATTCTACTGTTCCACTTTAATTTGGGAAGAGCTGATTTATTGTTCATCCCTTGTCTTTGATGATTTAGTAGATGGAAGTTCCTTTTTTTATGTTGGAGATCCTGTGAGGACTGTCTTATCCTTCATCTGTCTGTGTGAGATTCAGTAAATAAATGAACTTTCCAGTTAACTCTGGCTTTTAAAAGTGTTGGGCAGGGAGGTGTTTGGGGGCGGGGTATTTTTGTTGGGGTTTTTTGGGGGGGTTGGTTAAGTTTTTAGGATTTCCTGGAGCAGTCCTAGTTTTTAACTGTCCTGGATGCATTTAAATTATAATTGTAGTTTATCAGCAGACTTTTCTGTGATGGTGTTCACAGCTACAGCACTCAGGCCCCAGGCATTCCTAAACAAAAAAATGTTTACTGTCTAGAAAAGGAAATTGTGGTCAGTACATAAGCCTGTGTTTTATTCAGCAACTGCAGCAGAGACACTAGAAATGGCATTTCAAGCTTTACATAATTACTAATACATAGCAAGAGCTCTGTTTATATGTCAGGTTTCTGAAGAACAGGAAATAGATATGGATGGGGCTAAATCCTGCAAGATAATGCTGTGTATTGGAAACTGCATGAAATGCTGAATGCCTTCTAGGCAGTAGAGGCTGGGAGAGAGAATGCAATATATCAGGCAAAGCATAGGAAAGTAGTCTCAGGTTTCCAGTTAAAGCCTGTGTTATGATTAATATTGTGAATAAACGGGCACAGGAGTTCTGTGCATTAAGAAATGCTAATAATGTCGTCAAATTATACAAAGTAATTATAGATGCAGGAATTTTGCATTGGTCCAGCTCTTGATATTCATCTCTCAAAAAAACACATACAGGTGTGGCAGGCTTTTGAGGACACAGGGAAGAGTCAAGAGCTTTGTCTTCTTTTTCCAGTGGGTTCATGTGTCATGTTGGCCCTTCATCGCTTTTAGCAGCCTGTTCAGTTGGTAAAGAGTGATTTATTTGCCAGCACTTTATCGGTTCGTGATTGCCACTAGATGGGGCGTTTGTGCCAGCATCCCAGAGTGAGGAGCGGTGCTCGAGGCTAAAACGGGTTTTCAGTGAAAGCCCAGCATCTCCTCCACCCCCTCCGGAAAACGAAACAATAAATACGTGTTGGAGCAATGTCAAAGAGAGGTTCTAAAACCCTGCACATGGAGATGGGAACGTCCAAGTGCCTTTTTCACCCGCAGTGGTCCCTCCTGCTCACCCCTTCCCAGCAGTGCCCCTGTCATGCTGGGCTTGGATAATTTCTCTCGAGGTGATGAAGTCCGTGGTCAGGTCCAAACAGATGCAGGTGGAGTTCATGGTATTCCCTGTAAGAATAGTAGGGATGCACGTGACTGAGCTACTTGTGGGTCAAGTATTTGGATTGCAGACCACTTTGTGAGGAGCTCTTCCTCCTCTTATGCTCCTTATTGCACCTGCTTTGTCCTTTTTTTGGGAGCTGGTTTGGGTAATGAGCCACAGCCCCAGTAGCAAATGGTTCTGTTTCTTATGTGGATACTCTGATATGGATGCCACAAAAGAGTTAATCATCTCTTTTAGCTGTCTGTATTCTCCAGAGGCTCCTTCAATTGTCAGCGGGGATGGGCTCCTCCAAAGAACTATTCAGAGCACTTAGACAAAGGCCCTGCTCTGTATCTCACCACTTGTAGGAGCCTCTCTCTCTCTTCATTATTTAAAAAGACAAAAAAAAAACCCCTAAGAGCCTGGGAATACCGGCTACCTCTGCTGGCACAGGGAGGTGCTGGGAATCCCCCTCAGCCTCATTCAGGCACCCCGAACTCCCCCCAGTCCCTGCCTCGCCCCTGTGGCTGGAACAGAAAGCTGCTGCATGGGCTGCACTTAAACCAGGGGATGGCTCCCGGTTTGCTCGGCTTTCCTGGCGGCTCAGAAGGGCTGGAGCTTCCCCTGTGCTCTTCGTCCCTCCAACAGCTGAGGCTCTTACTGGTAAGCTTCTCTCTTGGGCTTGCGACTGCATTTAGAAAATCTGACCTCTGCTTATTTTTCTTCAAGTTACAGCCTCAGGTCAACATTCTTATAGGTTTTATAAATAAACCTCAGCCCAGCACATCCCTCTGTGAGCAGTGCAGAGGCTTTGGGGATGACTGAGGAAATACAGCATTCCCCTTTCCCACCAGTAGGTATCAGACTGTTTATTCTTGTACATTTTGTGGCCTCAAGTCTGTCTTCACTCCTT